TCCGTAAACTGATTAATAGCATTAATGATAAGACATTAAATCCTGGATTTATAACGATAATGTTTAAATTTAGAAATGAAAAAATAGGAAATATTTATCTCAAAGTTATGAACAGGATCTAAATAATAGTAATAAAATAATATACTAAATTGTAATCGAATTTGTCAAAGAATTTGTCAAAAGAATTTGTCAGCGAAACAATATTTTGAAAAATCGTATGAACGGTAAAAAAGTTACACCAAGCGTGTTGCATTCTTAATGAATTCTACGATAAATCAAATTATTCAATTGCAACAAATGAACAAGGATAGTAAAAAGTCGGTATATTTTTTTATAAGAAATGTTCAACCTTTGTGGGCGTCCAATGCGTTGCAGAACTGAATGTTCCACTGAAAATGCACATTCGTTCAAAACTTCCTGATGTGTCAGAACCAAAACTAAAACCGTAACCCGAAAGAGACACATTACGTTTGCGTAGTTTTAACGCTGTCAACAAACACTGTTGCTGCGCTGACGTGAAGTCTGCCAAAAGTAACTGTAACTCGGAAGAGACGCGTTTCATGAATGTTTTACGTCAGTCTGATGAGCACAATACGCTTTGGAGAGAGAGAGAGAGAGAGAGAGAGAGAGAGAGAGAGAGAGAGAGAGAAATAACACCCTTCTATTAACTAACACTAAATTATAAGAAATAATTTTTTTATTAAAGTGATATTATTGTCTTTTTATGCAATTTTAATATTTTTCTCAAGATTATTGAATATCTTACTTATAGTAAAACTAATGTCAGTTAAAACAATTATAGAAATTATAAATATAGAGATATGTATATGTTTGATTAATTTCACCGTACTGTCATAAAAAAGATATATAGAAAATATGAGATAGCGAAGATATGTAATTTTAAAGGAATCTCGCAGCTCTTTCGACGTTGAAATATTTCTGTAGCAGGTGTTCCTTATCTCGCGACGGAATTTCGTCGAATGAATCTCTCATGTTGGATATCTGTCTTCAAATGACAAGTTTTGCTTTCTTTTCTTAAACGATACAACTGTATCGATAAACATCTCTGAATTCTGCCTTTCACAAAATATAATACTCTTTAATTTACCTATTTTATCATCACATATTAACATCTGTGTATCCAAGATTGTTTCGGAAGGAGGGAGATTCTTTATCAATTCTGTTATATAAACAGCAATGTTTTACGATAATAAAATGCTTTTTTAATATTTTAGGAAAAATATTAGTTTTCGTAAATCATAATTTTTTTTCCGAAGAAGATATAGAAAGATATATGTAGTAGTAGATCAAAAACATAATATATAGTTGTGAATAAATATTCTCATTAATATCTCAGCACTATTCTGTTTTTCTAAGCTCAAAACCTTTGTAAAAATTTTCCTTATGTATTGAGCAACAAAGTTTATGTATTGAGTTTGTCAAACTTTTAATAACGGAAATTCTGAAAATTTCTTATACAATCGTAACGGAAAAAAACAAATATTTTATACCTTAGACAATAAAATTACTTATTAGGAGTTACAGGTAAAATTATATTTTTCATACAAGTTGTATTTTTAAGTTGTATTATTTATATGTTAATTAAAAATAAAAAAATAAGTAAAAAATTTTGAGAGTAAAATCTCTCTAATTCCTGGATACGCGCTCGTGCATATTAAATTATTTATTATATTCTGTGTGCATTAATTCACATTTTTTAGAGTTAGTTTATAAAAGTTAGTTTATAAAAATTTTATAAAAACATTTCAATTATCTTTTATTAAAAATTATAAAAGAAGTAACATGTTATATTGGAAAAACAAATAGATATTTCTATGAGAGCGGAACACTTGGCCATGATAGTTTTAACAACGTATTGTGCCCGTGAAATATCATAGTGAAGGGATTGTCACTATTCTTGAAGAGGTTTTCTCAAACAATTTTTTGTTTTTATAAATATTATTTCCTAATAATATTTATAGTAATATTAATAATAGTCGTCCTCTTACGATTCTAATTTGAACGATTGATTTATAATCATTAAATATATTGCACAAACAACAAGAGAGATCATGCCTCATTATTAACTTGTTCCTGATTTATCGATAATTGATTAATAATGAGCTAATAATAATTAATTCTTCATAATTGTTCCCGAGATAATGGAACTTACTAGTTTTAAAGAGCTTTTCTGGATCGTTTAAAGAAGACGACTGCGTGATGAGTCTCAATCATTGAGATTCTGCTCAACTTCACAGTAAAGTCCGTCTTTCTTTGTATAACATAATAAATAGATGTTTTTAATATATAGTAATATAGTATTATAAATATTATATATATCATAATATATATTTATAATATTTTATTTACAAGTGTATTTATAATTTTTATAACAGCATTTTTGCTTATGCTTTTATTACGCATTTCTTATCGCAATGTTCTCGTTTGTTCTATTTCTAGCAGATTGGTGTTACAACAAATAGCAGAAGAGGGCATCTTTTTCTCCAATATCAGACACAGGTTATAAATAAATTTACAAAACATTCGACACTTGACCTAGTGTAGAATATAGATAGAGATTTTGATAGAAAATGTCCAGTCGTCACATACAAAGTACTTACTGAAATGTATATACAATAGTGACGCACAAAGTTGATCGAGTGTTTTGAAAATTAGAAAAAAGTGTGCGTATTCGAAAGTTTATTATTTTAAAAATACATTATTCAGAATTTTTACATAATATACAAATTATGAGAATTTGCTTTTGTATATCTAATTTCTTCTTTTCTTCTGTTTATATTAAACACTTTTATGTCATTTTTAAAAACTTCAATCAATGTTTTACAAGCGACTGTATTTATTATATACAATAATTTTAGGATCTAATTAATTTTTTTAGGATTATTATCTGCTATTTATTTAAATTCGACAAAACGTTATGTTTTTCGTCTTACATCTGCGTATGGTTTGTATGTCGAATCAAAAATAATCAAATGTTTGCTGGCATGGAAATGCATTTGGGACCAAGATATGCCATCAACTGTGAGATGCATGGGTAAATGTTACTATTACGACATAAATTTTGAAAAGGCAAAGCAGAGTATTCACTCTGTGTCGGTTCACTGTCAGTCGCGACGGATCAATTGCGACGCTGCGACGCATATTCGAGACAAATACAGTCGCACGTAGCAGTGTGTGCAGCTCCGATTAATCTCTTTCTCTCTTCTACTTGATCGTAATTCTCCCCATTCTCCTTACTTTCTCCTTTTCTTGCTATTACGTCATTCGTCTTGTGTCTCTCCATTCGTCAGCTTGATTTCGTTTACGTTTTTTGCAGCGCGACGCCCACCGTCGTCGTCTTTCGCTGATTATGTCGAGGATCGTATGACTCCGGCGAAATTGCCCAAATTTCCGGTTTCTAGAACAACGTTACTGCAAGCGACAGCTAAGCGGCTAATTGAATCGTATTTCCAAGGACGCTCAGTGAAACGAATCGTCCAAATAAA